ACAATTCTAATATCGTGTTGTCAGGGGGAAAACTGAGGGTTTATGTTGATCATACAACAATTGTAAACCTGCTTAACAAAAACTTACATCAAGACAATATGCCAACAACTAAAATCCAATACTGCAGTGCAGTGCACGAAATCAAGCACAAAAAAACTCAAACAAATATGGGAAAACATGAACTCATGATCATCACATCCACCCTTGGAAAGCCGGGGACAATGTGCAATGTAACTTCATCATTACAAGAGAATCTTAGATGTATAATAGTTAGGTTTGTTCATAAAAACTAGATATATTGAACTAAATCCAAAACCACATCATACCTTTTTAAAATATGTGATCCAATTAAAACAGTGTTATGGGTGAGAAGGGTCCAATTGAGGAAAATAATGTTAATGAGGAATGGAATGTTGACATGGCAAAGAAGAAAGAAGTGAGGCACAATAATAGAATCAAAGGAAAGCATCCAAGGTGGGCCCAGTTTGTTAGTGAGTGAGAGACTATTAGTAGTGGGTAGCTCAAATTGTATGGTGTGAATTACATGAGATCTTTATCTCTCTCTATCTATCTCTCTCTCTCTCTCTCTCTCTCTCTCTCTCTCTCTCTCTCTCTCTCTCTCTCTCTCTCTCTCTCTCTCTCTCTCTCTCTCTCTCTCTCTCTCTCTCTATATATATATATATATATATATATATATATATATATATATATATATATATATATATATATATATATATATATATATATATATATATATATATATATATATATATATATATATATATATATATATATATATATATATATATATATATATATATATATATATATATATATATATATATATATATATATATATATATATATATATATATATATATATATATATATATATATATATATATATATATATATATATATATATATATATATATATATCATATCTCTTTGATTCACCACATCCTTTTTTGGGATTGTATTCCTTATATTATTCCTTTGGACGCTTATAATTCCTTCCTGATAAGGTTATGCAAGTTGAATCAGATTTCTCCTATAATTAACATTCATCCACATTTTTATCTTGCATGTTGTTACATTGTTTTATCAGCCATTACATTGGTGCTTTCAACACACTAATGGTCGACAACACCAGAATGAAGGAGCTTGCAGTTGAGGTTAAACGCCAAGGTGAAGTTCTGGAGAAGAACGGACAGTCAAATGCAGCTCTTTTTGCAAGAATGGAGACGATGCAGTTGTCATCAGAGTCACACTTTGTGGAGTTGTCGAAATCAATGGAAATGATGCTGAAATAGATGCAAGCTCTCAATGTCACCCATGGAAGCATGAACTCAGCGTCTCATACATCAACCATATCTCACTCATCATCATTGGGACCTGCTCTCTCTCTCTCTCTCTATCGCTCTCTCTCTCTCTCTCTCTCTCTCTCTCTCTCTCTCTCTCTCTCTCTCTTATCTCTCTTTGATTCACCATATCCTTTTTGGGACTGTATTCCTTATATTATTCCTTTGTACGCTTATAATTCCTTCCTGATAAGGTTATGCAAGTTGAATCTAATTTCTTCTATAATTAACATTCATCCACATTTTTATCTTGCATATTGTTACATTGTTTTATCAGCCATTACATTGGTGATTTCATCACACTCATGGTCGACAACACCAGAATGAAGGAGCTTGCAGCTAAGGTTAAACGCCAAGGTGAAGTTCTGGAGAAGAACGAACAGTCAAATGCAGCTCGTTTTGTGAGAATGGAGACGATGCAGTTGTCATCAGAGTCACGCTTTGTAGAGTTGTCGAAATCTATGGAAATAATGCTGAAATAGATGCAAGCTCTCAATGTCACCCATGGAAGCACGAACTCAGTGTCTCATGCATCAACCATATCTCACTCATCATCGTCGGGACCTGCTGCTCCAACACCTCCATTTCATGTTCGCAACATTAAGCTGGAATTTCCAAGGTTTAATGGTAATAATGTACTCGGTTGGATTTTTAAGGCTGAACAGTTTTTTGGTTATTATCATACTCCAGATCCAGAGAGATTGATTATCGCTTTTGTCCACCTAGAACAAGAAGTTATTATGTGGTTCCAAATGGTTACTAGATCTCAACCATTTCAATCATGGCATGATTTTACACGAGCTCTTGAACTGGATTTTGGTCCCTCAATTTATAAGTGCCCAAGAGCATCTCTGTTTAAACTGCAACAAATAAAATTGTTTAATGATTATTACCTTGAATTCATTGCTTTGTCTAATTGTGTTTATGGATTAAGTAATGATGCATTAATTGATTGTTTGTAAGTGGATTGAAAGAGGAAATTCGTAGAGATGTTATGTTGCATTGTCCTATTTCAATTGTGAAGGCTGTATCTATTGCCAAGTTATTTGAGGAAAAATTGTCTACTCAGAAATCTGTGTCTGTTCCACAGAAATCGGTTTATCACCAAAATAGAAATCACTTCAATCCAACCAGAAATGATCAAACACAAACTACTGAAAAAGCCCCCAACCCACCCTTACTTCCTACACCACCAAATAGACCTGTGAGACAATTCCAAAAGAACCCTGCAATCAAAAGGATTTCTCTAGCATAGATGCAATTGAGAAGGTAGAAAGGCTTGTGTTACTTTTGCAATGATAAATACTCTTTTTCACATAAGTGCCCAAACAAGAATTTGATGTTATTGGAGCTGAATGATGATCCTCAATATCTCAATCACCTAGCTCAGCATACATAAATAATAGTATAACTGAGTTTGGAGAGATAACAGAGCACCACTTATCTTTTAAAGCTTTCCATGGAGCTACAGGAATGGGTGTGATCCGATTTAAGGGTTATATTGGTCCTATTTGTGTTTCGATTCTTCTTGATGGAGGAAGCTCAGACAGCTTTATTCAACCATATATTGTTAAGTGCCTAAATTTAGATGTGGAACCAACTAACGGGTGTAAGCTTCTAGTTCGAAATGGACAAAACATGAAGACTGAAGGTGTGGTCAAGAAATTGTCTTTGAAGATACAAGGCATTGAGGTTACTGTGCCTGCTTATCTCTTGCCTGTAGCAGGGGCGTATGTCATCTTAGGCGCCCCATGGTTAGCTTCATTGGGACCTCATGTAGCTGACTATGCTACATCCATGTAAAAATTTTACCTAGATGGAAAGTTTGTCACATTGCAAGGTGAAGTTGGTAATAAGCCTATTGTCGCGTAACTGGATCTTTTCAAGAGATTAAACCAAATGAATGCAATTAGTGAGTTGTTTACTATCCAAAATATTGATCCTGTTGTTCTAGAGGATAATTGGAATGGCAGACCTGTTGATCTTGATCCAGAAATGAGTACATTGTTGCATACATACATTCCCTAAATAGTAGAATGTTATTCATGTAATTTTGGTTGTTCTGGTGAGACATTAGGTATATCTAAAGTAGTCAATAGTGGCCAATAGCAGTGCTATCCCGCTATAGCGGAGCACAAGCCGATCGATGCGATGAAGAACACTATAGCAGCCACTATAGGGTAAATAGCGAGATAGTAGAGCAACGTGGTTCTCGTCCCCGAAGCGTTTCTAACCCGCTATTATTTTCCCATCTAAAATTTGAAATTACCAATTAAATTTACAATGTTTTAAGGGTAATTTTAGGTTTTTCAATCAAATTTGTAGTTAAGACTCAACCTTAACATTCCTTCATAGTGGTTTGTACATTTCAAGAGTCACATGTGCTTTGATTTATAAGTATTTTATGATTTGAGTTATTTTGTTTAATTTTCCACTAAATATATGTTTATAATTATTATATGTAATTTATTCAAAAAATGATCAAATAGAGCGTTCATCCTACTATAAACTATTATGCTATTCCACTTTTAGAGTTAGCCGCTCTGCACTGCTATCCGAGAATGATTAATAAGGAATTAGATCAGAGTTTTCTTTATAAGCAAGTGGTCTAATTCTACAAGGAAATCGGTATTTTGAAAGCTGAGTACCTAATCTCTTTGTGTGTTCTTTTCTCTCCTAATTAACTTGATAATAAATTTTAATGAATTGACATATAAGTTTAATAGTTAAAAGAAAAAAGATAATGAACATTACATTCTTGACTTTGAAAGCTTAAAATTAACGATCATAATAAAGGCTGACAATAGATGAACTTGGAATGCAATTTGACAAGATTCCTATAATATTACTTATATTACCGAAACATGGTATGTAATACCCTATTGACTATAACTATATGACATAATTATTTGTAAGATTGTATATTCACTTCTCACTACTTTCATACTTTCATACTATTTCTCAATTAGGAACCAAAAATTCACTTCCAATTTATACCAGAAGTATATTTCAGGTATTAATTTTACCGTAACATGAGATGAATCTCAAAAACAGATGAATTATATGTGTGTGGAGGTGCGCACCGGAAATATATTTTCAGTTTTCAAGAACATTTTCAAAATTTTCTGTGGTGCGCTAGAAAAGCATGGGGTGGAATAAGAAATCACCTTTAATTTATTTACAAACAATGGGTCTACAATCCCAAGCCCAGTCTAATTTCTTTCAGATAAGCCCATCGTTTAATTCTGCTTTTTCCCTTCTATCTCAGAAACAAGTTGTCGTCGCACTGATCTCAATTCTCTGCTGAGAAACGAAAACCCTACCGGAATTCGCAGTCGGAGCTACTCGTCAACCTCCCCAAAATCTAGGTTTTCCTCTTCATTAATTTTTATCAACTTTCGTTACCATCTTTTGGTGCGCGCTCGAGGATGCGATCCAGCTCAATTATGCTTCCTAGCACAATGTTTGAAATTTCAATTTCATAGTAAGCATTATGCAAATCGATGAGAAATCACTCGATTTAATTCAATATACCAAATTTTGTGTACATTGATTTTTGAATGAAAGGTGACACGCTACCTTCAAATGTTGATTGGAAATGTTTTAATTTTCGGTACAAATTTTCTCTATTTAATTTCTTTATATATGTCTGAATTGTAAATTTTGTATATTTTGATATTGCTTAATGCTTGATTTGTTAGATTAATTATTTAATATATCAAATATAGATTAAAAATGTATTATTAATTATATTACGTTCAATTTGCTTCAGTGTTAAGCCCAAGATTTAGCACGGACAGTTGGGTCAAGGCAGTCTCGAAGCCGTCGGTCAGAGCATCAACGTAATCCGACTCTAGGATCTGGATCTGAGCAATTAACTGTGCCCAGGAATGCAAGTCCGCGGCCCCTTCAGGCTCCCGTCCACAAGCAACATTGCAGCTTTCAAATCGGACACCTCCTTTTCCAACTGTTCTTTCTCGAGCATTAAGGAATCTATTTCCTCATAAGCTTTGGTGGTTTCTTCTTTCTCCCTCGTTAAATCATTGGCCTGCACACAAAACTTCTCCTCGCTCCGCTCAAGGGCACTTTTCAACTTTTGTGTCTTCGCTTGAAGAGTCTCCTTCTCTGATTCCAATTCCTTCACTAGTCCAGAGGATCCAGATCCTTCACCCGCAAGGACTACGACCATCTCTGCGACCTTCATCAAACCGACCATCCCGGAAGCCAGGTGCTTCCATCGACCCTCATCATCGAGGCGTCTGATAATGTTGGATTCAACATCGGGCACAATCAGAGGGAAACTCTCAAAGAAATCCTTTTCCATAAAACAAGGTGGAAGGTTAAAAGCCCAAGTAGTCACCCCCTCCTCGACTGCACTTACAGGTCCATCTTTTGACCTTCTCTTCTTACTCGGAACAGCCGCAGGCTGTATGGTGTCGCGGGCACCCGATAACCCACTCGAACCATCCCTGACCGGCTCTGAGCCCGGGCCAAGGTGTGTGGGATGGTGCGGCTTCACAAACCTCTTATGGTTTTTCTTTTCCTGAGTGAGCTTCGGTAACCGTTCACGACGTTTCGACATGTTACCTGCGAATACAAAAAAGATATCCTCGAGTTAGTTTCGCTAAAAGGACTTAAACAAATAACTCAAGAAGTAAAATACAATAAATCACGCGAGCAGAAACCTAGGAGGTTCACGGCCTGCCCGTAGGTTTAACATTCCACGAGCGCCTTATTATTGATCGGGCGCGCTTCGAACGTAGGTTCACCATCTTTATCGAGAATGTCATGTCCTTCCCTTGTAACCTATCTCGAGGGAAAGAACCCATCGATGAATCGAGTGAGGATACCATAAGACTCTTCATCCTTAACACTCATACTGCCGGGAGCGGTGTGGTAGTGGCTGGGACTGTGCTTGTAGTGACCTGAGCACCAATGGATAGGGAACTTCGAAATTCTCCCCCAATCTCCGGATTACCCTCCTCGTTGAGACATACTTCTCCGTCTTCATCCACTACTTAAACTGGGTCGAACACGACATCCACGACCGCCTGAGACGATGGCTGCATGACGTACCACTTATCCTTGAAGTCGCAGACGGAATCCATGTACATCCTAAACAGTCTCTTTGACTGCTTCAAGGAAACCCAACTATGTTTCCCACCCATAGATTGGCGTTGAAGGTGGAAAACCCTGAAAAACAGAGGAATGGTCACCCCGATCCTCAGGAACGGACACGTGATTTTGAAAGCCCGAAGGAAGGCGACTGCATTAGGATGTTGTTGAGAGGGTGTAGGGTTCAAGTGGTTGAGCACGCCCATCTAAAAATCATTGAAAGGCAAATGAAGCCCCAAGTCTTTGAAAATGACCTCATACATCGGGAAGTGATCCTCCTCGAACTCCGAGCATATCCTTACTGTAGGAGTTGGTCACAAGATCATGAAGTTACGACGAAACCCTTCCATGTTACCGCCATGCTCGACGACAGTATATGCTTCCCTTCTGCTATAACTATAAACTGAGGCTATCCCTCGAGGTTCTGGCCTGACCCAGGATAGCGCGGGATCGTCAACCGTGTCGACTAGATGGAGTCCTTCCTCGACAATACTTGTCTCTTCAACACTTATGTGCTCGAATGACTCTGGAGTATCGACCATTTCACATGCAAAGCAGAGGAAACCAGTGAATTTGACAGAAAAATCACA